CGTCTAGGAAGGGAACAAGGGTTTGACTTGATGGGCTTTCTGCTAATGGTCCCCCCGAGGATAGTAACACTGCTCAGCTAATGCTGCAGCACGGTGTAGAGCTGGGTGAGGTCCACCAGTGTCCCCTGCCTCCCCCGTGCCACCATCAGACCTGCACCTCCACCGGCTGCGGTCCCCATCCCGGGGGTGACAGCGGGGTGGTGGCCTGGCCCAGTGGCAGAGGGCAAAAGGGGACAAGGGGCATCGAGTGGTTTTCAATCTGGACATGGATGCGAGCTGGGGTTTTCTTGTGTTTCTGTGGTTGTGTGGGTTTTTTCTCAAATGCGGGAACTGTTTTGAAAATGCTGAGAACTTGGCGAGGGTCAGCAGCGGAGGTATTTGAGGCATCCCAGCTGGTATTCCCTTCCACTCCGTTTCGGCCAGGACGGCACAGGCAGCCCGAAGCCTGCCCCACAGACGGAAAACCAGCTGAGCCATGGTCTGGGTTTGCTGCTGCCCTGGTGCCCGCAGGTCTCCCAGCAGCACTGCGGTCGCAAAGGGGAGCTCTACGTTCTCCAGCTGTCCCCAGAGCTGGTGCTGAGGGCTAACAACCTTTGATAGTAGGGGATGGTATCTCATGAGAACAGCTCATCTGGTTACGGAGCTCTGCTAATGGAGAAGACCTCTGCAAGCCTGGCATCGCCATGCAATGGTGATACTCTCTCCTCTCCTCTCCTTCCCTTTTTGCACCCTTTTGTATTTCCAAGGTTTGCCGTGTCCTAAAAAGACCCTGTCTTGGCTCAAATGAGCCTCTGATGAGTGCCAGCACTTGCCACCCCGCTGAGTCTGTGCTGGGGCTTGGCAGAGGAGCCTGGAGGAGATGATAGCTGGCTAACACACTTGGTGGGATGATGGGTGGTTCCCAGGTCCCAGAAACCCCTCAGTGCATTAAGCCCCCAATGCCCAAGAGATGCTTTCCTTCACCCCTCCATCTCCCCTCTCCCCTCCTCCTCCCAGGACCCTGCTGCAGCCGGGAGCGGCCGTGGAAACCTCCCTGGGGAGCGCGGGGCTGCGTGGGAACCATGCTCCCACATACGGCTCTGAAACAGAGCCGCAGCTGAAAAAGCATTCAGCGGGCAGGAGCGAGCCTTGACATGGATCCCTCTTAGGAGGTATTTTCCTTCAGAAGAGGGGGGGAAAAAAACCCAAACCCCAAGAGTAATGAAAAACACAGGGGTTTTTATAGCTGTCCTTTTAATTCCAGGGTATAACAAATGATTTCCCATCGGAGCAGAGAGGAGGTGGGATGCTGCACGCCTCCAGAGTGCGGTCAAAATAAATAAAACCCGTGTTTGCATCTCTTTGGTATCTGTCCTCTGCACAAGCCACGAAGCCCTGCACACAGTTGGCTCGTGAACCCACATCTGGTAGGACTTTGCACACAGCCCATGCAGTGCAGGCAGCAGCCCCTTTCCCTCTGGCAGGGTCTAGTGTCACCTCCAAGGTCCAACGTGATGCATCCCTGGACCTGAGCATGACTCTGCGGAGGAGGAGAGGAGCCCGGGGCAGTGGCGGGTGCAGAGCCAAGGCCACGTGCAAGGAGAGCATCTCAACATGGGATAGGGGGCCACCTATGTCGCAACGTTGTGGTCGCGCCTCGGCAGCCGCAGGAGGAAGGTCTGCAGGGAGCCGCTGCGTGGGAAGCCCGCCCGCTCCTTCTTGAACTTCCAGGTCTCCTCTTCCACGGAGTAGAGGAGCGTCAGCATCTTGTTTACGGTGTAGATGGTGTCACCCCTGATGACGGCGGTGAAGAGAGCTCCTTTGCTATTCAGGAACTGCCCGGGCAGGGCGGTCCACTGCCGCGACGTCAGGTTGAAGCAGTCAATGACGCAACGCAAGAAGTCATCTGAGGGGCCGTTGCGCATGACGTAGAGGTTGTCGCGGTGGGCCACCATGCAGTGCCCGTAGCTCTGGTGCCGCTTGAGCTCGGTGACGGGAAGCCATGCATCTCGCTGGGTCTCATACTCATAGATGACGGTAGTGTCCAGTGGCTTCCACAAGCAAACGAAGATCTGCCCCATGGCTTGGGCACAGGGTGCTGCTGCACTCGGCTGTGGCAGGTCGGAGACGAACGTCCAGGTGCTGGAGGCCACTTCGTACCTTTCCACGGACTTCAGGGAGATCTTCTCATACTCCCCACCGATGGCATAGAGGTAGCCCTCGTGGCCCACCAGCCTGACGTCATAGCGCAGCTGATGAGGGCTGGGGAACTCACTCCAGGTGTTGGCATCGGCATCGTAGCAGAAGCTGCTCTCCACCACCTGCTTGCTGGCCCCGTAGACACCGCCCACGATGTAGATCTTATTATCCATGGTCGCCATGCCAGCTAGGAACGTGCTGGCGCTCAGTGGCAGGCAGGAGAGGGTCCTCCACGTGTTGGTCTCCTCGTCCAGGTAGCAGATGGTCCTAGAGAGGTCCTCCAGGAACTCAAAAGTGGGCGTGTGGGCTCCTACCGCCACAAAGGTGCTGGGCAGGAGGGTCTCCACATAGGCCAGCAGGTCATCAGAGAGGCAGTCCAGGTACTCCACCAGCTCGGCGTAGCTGTCCCTGATGTAGAGCGCGGCGCAGTGGAAAAGGTCCAGGAGACCGAATATGGCGGCAGCTTGGTACAGCAGGATGCAGTTGTCAGAGTTGATGGAGTGGATCAGGTACTTGGCCAAGGGCTTCACCTGCAGGAAGGCGGCACACTCAACTGCTTGGAAGGTCTCCTCGCTGCTGAGGATGGGCCTCTCACCCGCCAGCACCCGCAGCATGGTGAGGAACCCGGCTGCGCTCAGCTCCCCCAGCCCAATCTCCTCCTGCGTGCTCTCCTTCATGCCCGAGCGGAAGAGGGCACGGAAGTACTCGCTGCTCTCCACCAGCAAGGTCTTCTCCACCCAGAATGACTGCTCCTCCACCCGGATACACACCCTCTCTGGAGGCCCTGCCCAGGAGCCTTCCTCCTCCGGTGTCATCCTCACCTGGGGGCTCAGTGGCTCTCGGCAGGGGGGGCAGCACCCGATGCCCCTCTGTGCCGTGTCCCGCTGCAGCCCCCTCCTGCCTCCACCACCCTTTGATGCCTTTGCTGCGCTGCCCGGCGGCCGCCACGCTGCTGCCTTGTAATATAAATACCTTCGGCTAAAGATAGCCGAGCTCGTGACCGGGGCCTTTCAAAGGCATCTGCCGAGCTCAGCTGCCCACCCAAAACACAGGCAGGGCTCCAGCGTCACCGGCCGTCGTGGTTCACGGGGGGGGTGCCTGGCCCCACCACGGCTCGTCCCATGGAGGATGCCCGGCCACCCTGGGGGAGACAGGTTTCACTCTCCCCCCTCTCGGGCACCCTCCTTGCGACGCCCTAAAGGGACAGTCCCCACCCCAGGGAGGGCAACATGTTTGCGTGGCTGGGAAGAGCATGTTGCTGCACTATTATTTTTTTTTCCCTTATAAACGTGGGTTTTGTGGCTGCAGGGAGGTGACCGATGTCAGCAAATCTCCGTGCCGTTCAGCCTGACCATGGGAAAGGGGCTTTGCCGCCCTCCGAGCGTGGCCACAGGCAGGGAGGGACCTTTATGGGGCCGTTCCCTTTGCGACCCTCCCCAGGTAGGAGGCATGGAGCAACCTGGGCGACATCTGTCCCTGGCGCAAGGAGCCATAAACCAGCCTGTGCTTCACCTGGGGATCCCGTGGCAAGAAAAATGAAGTGCAGCAAACCCCTTCTCTCCGGAAGAGTCCCCTCTGGCCACAGGGCTCGCCCCGCTCCCCTGTAACTCCCGGCTGTGGGCAGAGACAACCGCCCCCCACGACTCATGTAGAGGTTGACGGTGAAGAAGAGTTATTTGTGGCACGTCGCTTGTTTGTGTGCTATTCACAGCTTTTTCTGGTTAGAAATCCCATTTTGCCTCTGCCATGGGGTGCCGAGGAGGGCTGGCAATGGGGCCCCCAATTCCTCCCATCACCACCTGCAGCTGGTCTTTATTTTTGATGCATAATTTAATCCAAGCAGCATAATGATGCATAATTTAATCCACCTTGCCAAAGGTATATTTTTTTCCTTCCTCCTTAGCCCCTCATCCCAGCAGCCGGGAGCTCCTGGGGCACTGCGTGACGGCAAAGCCATTGCCCCAGGATCGTAGCCCCAGCAGGTTCCCCAAAAAATCTCAGTTTAGGGAAGAAGGTGAAAGCGTTGCGCTTGTGTTACTGTCATTGATCCTTATGGGTACCTGGCTTAATATACCACATTTAGCTCTGATTGCTTTTAAGCATCCTTGACCTGTGTCCAAAGGGGATCGGGGGTCCCTGGAGGGGCTCTGCTTCCCGCAGGGGAGCGATCCCCATCCTCTCCATCCTCCCCATCCTCCTCATCCCTGGGGCTTGCAGGGACTTCCACACTCCCAGACTATTTTGGGAGGGTTTAAAAATATCCTCCCTGCATTAACGGGCAATAATCCCAACGGCGCAGCAGCCCCACATGGCCACGGAGCGGCCTTTGCCCCCCAGCCCTGGGTATGGTCTCCCACAGAAACCCCTCAGGGCCGGCCAAGGGGCCGTATCCTGCGGTCCTGGGTGCTGAGCCCCATCCCAAATGGCTGCGATTGCCATGACAACACTGACTTCAGCCTCTGCCACCTACTCGGGCTCCAAGCCCACTGGGTACTGGCTGATGGCTCGGTGCGGGCAGCAGCGGTGAGTACTCCCCGTGCTCCCCTTTCCCCCCTCGGGATCGCGTCTTTTGGGTGGAAAAAGGTTTTTTTTTTTATCCCTGCAAAGTCTCTGCCAGCAGCAGGTGTGTGTGCTTAAATGGGCTGGGCAAGCAGTGGACAGGAGGGTGGCTGTGCTGGCAGCATCGCTCCCAGGTGCTGCTCCTGCCTGAGGGAGGTGTAATGAGTGCACCGGCCTCAGCCAGGGGAGTGGGACGGGGTTTTTGCTTGCTGGGGGCTTGACAAAGTGCCGGGGACATGGTGAGGTGGCCGCCAAGCACAGGCATGACGGGTTTCGGGGCCGGAGGTCCCTGCCCGAAGCCCCAGGAGCTTGGGGGGCCGGCGTCTATCCTGCTCCGGGGACCGTCCTCGGGGCGGCCGGGGCAGCATGTCCAGCCCGGCGCCGGCGCGGCAGCTTTCCTTACAAGGAGTTTGGCTGGGGCCCGAGCGGCCCATGCCTCATGCACCGGCAGCCCCGGCGGCGCAGGGGCCGCTGCTCCCCCAGCCCTGGCCCCGGCCTCGGCCCCTGCGCACCCCGGCGCGCCCCACGTCTCCTCTGGCGGCGGGTTTTAAGGTGGGAGGCTGCGTTTCTCTTCTCTTTCTGGGGTGCGAAGGGTGGGCAGAGGGCTGGGGGGGTTCTCTGTCTTTGCTTGGGTGGGGTGCTGGCCGCCAGCATGGGATGCTGATGCTGGCCCCTGGCTCC